GACAAGGAAATCAGCTGTCTATAGTGTACCAATGGAAAGGAAAACGCAGGCTATAGTGAAACCGTGGCGTAAAAAATGAAACACCGCTCCGTTTCCCCAGCAAGCCGACCATGTCCCTGTCGACCATGTTTCTAATTATTTAGAGTACCTATTGTTTATAAATAGTAATCTATAAATGCTCTATGCTCTATTTTTTGTTTTGCTGATGACACTACAATCCTGATTCAGGATTTAAATAAATTAAATTTAATGAGTAAAGCAGCAAAAATCATGTCATCTATTAAACATTGATTTGATACAAACTCTCTTGAAATAAATTTTAATAAAACATGTTATATCCCCTTTTCCATATAAAAAGTTAAAAATCTTGATATTTATGAACCCATTAAAATACATGATGACTCATGTCAAGAGATAAAGTTGATAGGTACTTGTAATTGTAACTATGTAAATGTAAGAGGTGCCGAATCAGTGAAGTATCCGGGGGTCATGATTGATAAGTTTTTAAAATGGAATTTTTATATTAACTCAGTGATTAAAAAATTAAGAAGGATGTTTGATAGATTTAAAGCATTAAATAATATTTTATCACCTAACAATATGAAAATGGTTTTTTGTGCAATTGCACAATCACTATATACATAAGGGAATTTGTGTATGGGGTGTTACCTTCGATAAATATTTATGTTTGCTCAGAACTTCTATAAACTCACTACTAAGGATAGCTTTTAAGAAACCCTATCATTCGAATACTGATATACTATATAATACTTATGGTATATTAAATTTGGAGAAATCTCATGCAAAAGAAGTACTAACAAATCTATATTTTTATAAATTTAAAAGTGTCAGTTTCAACCATAATTATTCTACTCGTCAAAATAGATACAATGTTTTTAGATTAAATAAATATAATACGGAATTTGGGAATAAAGATCCCTTTAATATAGGTATACATCTATGCATGAAGTATGATATACCAATTAAACAATTATTATTTTATAAAGATTATGAACGTTACAAAAAGTATATTAAGTATAAGATGAAAACTTGTTTATAAAAATATCCATACATTTTTGCTGTACTTAAATATTGTGCCTGTTTTATAATTTATTGTTTAATTATTACTTATTTATTTGTATAAACTTAAGTTAAATAGTTTGATAAGAATTAAACGTAGTTGTCTTAAAATTGTAAACACACCTTAAAATAAGAACTGTTGTCTCCTCCACAAGCCTTGGCTTTTGGAGACAATCATTTAAATAGTTTTTATTTGTATAGTGTATGTAAAATTTTTTTCTTAAATGCAATACATTTATGGTACCTAGTATAATATAATAAATATCCTTTAAACTACCAATCGTATTTAAAAACTGCGATAAACTAAAAGAAACTACTCCTTTTCATATAACCAGGTATTTTTTTACAATTGAAAAATTCTCATTATAAGATCATACATTCATGAAGTCTAACTTTTCATACAAATCTGGTTTTTCTTTTTGTAAGTAAACTATCCTTCCTATACTATAAAATGACAAGGAAATCAGCTGTCTATAGTGTACCAATGGAAAGGAAAACGCAGGCTATAGTGAAACCGTGGCGTAAAAAATGAAACACCGCTCCGTTTCCCCAGCCCGCCGACCATGTCCCTTCGATTCCTTATAGCGCGACCAATCGCGTACCTTCGCAGCGGCGGCAGTCGGTTTTAAAACGTTTTTCGTTATCACCTCTTTTCCTAGTATTTCGCCGATTTTTTAAATTTTCAAATTAGCTGTTTTTACACGATTTCGACCCTTTCCGTCCTTTTATATACTTAATTCGAAGCCGCCGGTGTGCGGTTTATATTCGTGCACGGTCCGAAGCGGTCGCAATGTCGATCGAAAAATACACTCCCGACCGGACTTTTTTGCCGATTTTTTCCTTTTCTCCCACCGTTTCGTCTATTCGCACGCCGTTTGTGCCCGAATCGTGTAGTCCACGTCTTTTTAAAGCCGTTTATATGGGCTTTTCCCCCGAAATCGGTTCGTTCGCCTCGCAATCGCGTTTAGAAATTACGCCGGCGACCGACCTACCGTACGCGTATATAATAATAATAATTTATTTACGGAAATAAATTCCAATTACAAAAATATTGTAGTGACAGTTTGTGTTAAGTGCACATAATATGGGTTACAACTTAAAAGTAATGTGATTACAAATAACATAGAACAGAACAAAAGAAAAAAGAAAAAAAAAGTATATGTATACAAATATTAAATATTAAATAACGATTTAAATTTAAAGATATTATATAAAAGCAGCATAATATGAATAAATAATTATATTGAGAGTATAGTGGTTATAAATGTAGGTAGAAGAAATAAAAAGGGGGAAAATATGATATAGAAAGCAGAGAAATAGAAGAGGATAAGAGAAGATTAGATCAAATATTAGACAAATTAAATAAGGTAGTGTTAAATAAATCTAAGTCTTTAGTTGAATTAGCTGCTGACATAAGTATATTTTCATGGGTATATAGCATATAGTTTGAAGAGAAAGAGGAAAGATAAAGAGTGGAATTATTTCTAGAATTAGATTGGTTTACTCTAAAATTTAAACGTTCGATTATTTCGGGACAATCTATAATATTATGTAATAATTTATTTAAAAATTTACAGTTTAAGATAATAAATCTTTTATTTAGGAGAATTATTTTAAAAAGATTACAAATGGTTTCATATCCAGAATGAGGAGTTCTTATACAATGGTATTTATTATCGTATCTTAAAAAGTTATTTTGTACAGAAGATAGACTATGGTTTTGGATAATAATATATATATATATATATATATATATATAAGTGTATAATTTAATTTTTCCCTATGATGTAATAATTATTAACGGAAAACGCTTTTCACGCGCCCCGTTAAATATGTATATGGGAGATGCGCGTATTACAAGCGAATTATATGCGATTACATCGATGTACATCGAATATATCGGTTTACGTCGCTCCGTAGACGCACGGCTTAAGTGTTGATGTTCACATCTCAAACTGTGTCCAAGTAGGTTAGGCGTTAGGTAGGAAACACGTAGGTCCCGGGTTCGAATCCGTCGTACGCTGCCCGAACGTCGAATCCGACATTGCCATAAGGTCTACAGTCCGGAACCTGACTTTTTTTGCATTTTTTTTTTCACGTTATTTTTCATATAAATTAAATAATAATATAATAATACAGGAACATATCGTACATTATTATTATTTAAAGTCATTATCATATTATATCACACAATAAATAGGTACATATTATATTTGTTTTGTTAGGAATTATTATAATTGCATATTTTTTCAAAAAGTCGATGATTGTTATATAAATATAGTTTGTATTTTATTTCGGATTGCCTACCTAGGTGGCTAAATTGAAAGTTAATCGATTTTGACTTGAGATGCTAGACACTCCAACACGGTTGTCGACTTTACACTTTTTACATAAGGAATGGCACCGGACATGCGAAGCCACATACCACTCTATGTGATATATCTACTATATATAGGTGATAGACGGATTGCTCATTTTAGTTTCGTCTTAAACGGTGATGATTGACTTGACAGACACTTTAACAGTTTAACATGCAGGTTTTTGCATTTTTTTTTTTTTAAATTAATATATATACATTATAGGTAATGTTTATATGTATTGTATTGGCTAATATAATAGTAGGTATGTATCTAACTATCTACCTATGTCCTATATGTTAATTTTTTTTAGGAATTATAATTGCACATTTCTCAAAGTGTTCATTGTTATATTATATCACACAATAAATACATATCATATTTGTTTGTATGTATATTGTATATAGTTTGAATTTTTCGTAATTTATTTCGTAAGTTGTGTGATAGGGTTTTTACTTATAGCCGATTGACGTCAGGTCTGCAATCCACCGCAGGTGGATTGCCTACCTGATTTGTTGTAGCACGTTGTCCGCGATCCGACGAAGTCGGATTGCCTACCTAAGTGGCTAACTTTAAAGTTAATAGATTTTGTCTTGAGATTTCGATGGTTTTCGACTTCACACTTCTTACATAAGATAAAGCACCGGTCATGCTACGGCACATGCCACTCTATGTGCAGGTATACTCTATATTATAGGTGATCCTGGAGATCGTATCCAGCCTATCCATTTACAACGTTTGTGATGGATTGCTAGACGCTCAAACTTTTAACATTCCCGCCAAAGCGTCTAGCCTTATCTCCAATCCATATCACTAATCCTTATCACAAATTCTAAATTTTCGTCTTACAACATTTGCGACTTTTATAATTCATTGTCTCCAAAATCGGTACCCACTCCCAGTGAGTCCAACGAGCCCCGAGTTACACTTAGAGCTAGTAGAAATATAGAATAGATATATTGTGTCACTATACCTAAAAAATTAATATTAATTTAAGATATAATATTTGAGTAGATATATTGTGCATTGTGCATATTATGTAAAATGTGAGTGTTTGTAATAAAGTTGTTCTTTTATTTTATTTCAATAACATATTTTCAATTATTTTATCTGACAGTTATCAGTGGTAAATAATAATAATAATAATAAAAATAATAATTTCGCGCGTAATTCAAATAGGCCTATCAGAAGCGCGGATTTAATATCGTGGCTAGTTTCGAGTAGGTATTGTTAATACGCAGCCGGGTATACATATTACATAGTTAGTCGTTGATTTATATTACGCCTCGTAACATTATACTTATTATTATATTATATATATATATCCGATTTTATTATTATTTACCTTTAACTTCTGTATATCTGTGTACTTCAACAGGTTATGGGCCCAGTAGTAAGGTCTTTATAATAAAGTTGTGAATAGTTATTAAAATAATTAATAAAAAATAACGAATTGCATGTTTTTGTGTACAGACAGTGTACATTAATAATAATTCGCGAAGTGCAGTTTAGTGTGAGTGCGTTTCTTAGTGTGCAGATAGTGTACATTTACGTTTTTTAAATATGGAGAACGAACAATATAAAATCAACAAACTCAAAGATGCATCAAATTGGGACATTTGGAAATTTCAAATTAAGGTTATCATGAATGCAGCTGAAATATTTGATGTAGTAACAGGAAAATCAAAGAAACCAATTTTAGCAAAAATCGGTAATGAAACTGAAGATGAAGCGAGAAAAAGGCATAGCGTTGATTTTTCAATATGGAAAAGGGCAGATAATAAGGCTCAAAAATATATCGTCACATCGTAAGATGAACAACCTCTACAATACATAATGAACTGTGACACAGCAAATGGTATGTGGAACAAATTACTTAGTGTGTACGAACAGATGTCGGACACAAGCATAACAATAGTACAACAAAAGTTCTATCGTTATACAATGGATCCAAAAGACAATATAGCAGGTCATGTTTCAAAATTAGAAAATCTAAGTAGACAACTAAAACAATTCAGAAAACCTATCTCAGAATCAATGTTGATTACAAAAATTTTGATGACATTACCTGATAGCTATAGGCACTTCTACAGTGCATGGGACTCAATGAATAGTGCAAATAGAACGCTAGAACAGTTAACCACTCGATTGATGGTGGAAGAAACACGACAAGTGAAAGGACAGGAGGTCCGTGACGATAGTGCTGAAAGTAGTGCTTTGACTGCAACCAAAGGCAAGTATAATAAAAGTCAAAAATACGTGAACAAAAATGATAATACAAAACCAGGAAAATGCAATCACTGTAAAAAACCAGGACATTGGAAAAGAGACTGCAGGATATTCAAAAAGGAACAAGAAGAAAAGAAATCAACTTCCGGTTTGGCGCTTATTGGTGTACAAAGAAAAGACTCAGGTGCGAGCGACCACATGACAAATCGAAAAGAGTGGTTCGTCGATTATAAACATTTTGATGTGCACTCGCTTGTACGTATTGGAGATGGTAAGCACATTATGGCAGTTGGAAAAGGTAACATAAATATTCATACTTATGTTGACAATAAGTGGATAAAAGGCTACTTAGAAAATGTTTTATATGTACCTGATCTAAAGGTAAATTTATTTTCTTATGGGGCATGCCTTGATAAAAGAATTACAATGCTGACAGACAGTAAAGGTTGCTCATTTAAAATTAATAATCGTGTAATTGCAGTCGGTGTTCGTGAGAATAAATTGTTTACAATGCTAATCAAAACAGATATTTCACAGGAAATTGGACACTGTGCTAACGTTGCAGTTAAGAAATTAACATTAGAACACTGGCACAAAATACTATGTCATCAGAATGTCAAACATGTTCGTGAGTATTTAAAACACAATGAAATACAATTTACAGATATACAAGGACAGTAATTCTGTGAACCATGCATCTATGGCAAACAGCATAAGGAGACGTTCACTCAGAGCGAAACAATAACTACTGAACCAGGGCAAATAATACACAGCGACGTATGTGGACCCATGGAAGAGAATTCACTAGGAGGGAAAAGATATTTCATTATATTTAAAGATGATTATTCTAAATATACTTATGTCTATTTTATGAAACATAAATCTGAGATTAAAGAAAAACTTAATTGTTTTCTGAGTATGGTTAAAACTCAAACAAAATACGTTATTAAAACTATTAGAAGTGACTGTGGATTAGAGTATAAGAATTTCGAAGTTCAATCAATTCTAAATCATCTGGGTATAAAGCATGAAACAAATGTACCTTATACTCCTGAACAAAATGGAAAAGCTGAACGTTCAATGAGGACTATTTGTGAGGCAGCCAGAACAATGATATATGCCAAGAATTTTCCAAAATCACAGAAGCAGTCAATACAGTAGTGTTCTCATTAAATTATACTGGTAATTCAGGGAAAGTATGTAAAACTCCATACGAGTTATGGTTTGATAAACTTCCTAAAACAGAAAAGTTCGTAGAATTTGGAATAAATGCATATAGTTTAGTTCCAAAACAACGACGAAGGAAGTGGGATGCAAAAAGTCGAAAAGGGTATCGTATTTGGTATAAAGAAAATAACGAGGTGTCACTTAGTAAAGACGTCATTTTTAAGGATGAAAATGTTGTAAATTACCAAATTGTAGAATGTTCTAATAACTTAAATGATAGTAATAACATTGATGTTCTTAGCTTACACAAATACGGCTCATTAGAATACAGCAATAAACCAGAAGGAGATGAAGTCATAGAAAATGAATATGGACCAATAAGTGTAGATGACAATGAAAATCAAGAACATGAACAAGGAAATGAGTCAAATGTCAACGTGTACAACTTGCGAGACAGAAGTAATATTAAGAAACCATTACGTTATGATAATTCAGCATTTTTCGTAGTCGAATCCGATCCAGTGAATTTCAAGGAAGCTGTGGAGTCACTAAATTCAGAAAAATGGGTGGAAGCCATGAACAATGAAATGGAATCTCTTGAACAAAACGGAACATGGTCTCTCGTAAAGTTACCTAAGGACAGAACTATTGTAAATTGTGGTTGGGTGTATAAAACAAAATACAATGTTCATGGACATGTTGATCGATACAAGGCTAGGCTAGTAGCAAAAGGGTATAGTCAAATATTCGGTATTGATTTTAATGAAACTTTTAGTCCTGTAGTAAAGTTCGATTCAATTCGGTCTATATTAGCTATATCAGCGGCAGAACAATTACAACTTCGACAATTTGACGTTCAAACAGCGTTTTTATATGGAGATTTGGACGAAGAAATTTACATGAGACAACCAGAAGGGTTCAACGATGGTACTGAAATGGTGTGCAGACTTCAACGCAGTTTATATGGTCTAATAAGCAGTCACCACGATGTTGGAACATAAAGTTCAAAACATTTCTTCTCAACTTTAATCTATTAGAAACAAAAGCAGATCCCTGTGTTTTTGTTAATAGAGAAAATAACAAAGTATTAATCGTCGCTATATTTGTTGATGATGGTCTAGTTGCAGCTACATCGAGTGAGGATGTAAATGCATTAATGGAATATTTGAGACAACATTTCAATATTACCGAAGGAAAATTGAATCAATTTTTAGGTACAGAAATTGTGCAAAAATCTGATGGATCAATTGTAATGCACCAAGTGTTGTATTGTAAAAAAAATATTGGAGAAGTTCAATATGACTGAAGCAAATCCAGTTCAAATACCAGCAGACCCTCAACATTCATTGGATGACAAGCAACAAAACACCAATCTAACTAGTAAAGTCCCATATCGTGAAGCAGTCGGAAGCTTATTATATCTCAGTCAGATTACAAGACTGGACATAACTTTTTCAGTAAATCTAGTTAGTAGATACATCGAGGATCCAAAGGAACAACACTGGACAGCAGTGAAACGAATTTTAAAATATTTAAAGGGCACTATTAATTTTGGATTGATATTTAGTTCTAGACAAAAACTCATGTTAAAGGGATATATTGATGCTGACTATGCAGGTGACTTGGATACAAGAAGGTCAACATCAGGGTCAGTATTTACATTAGGATCTGGAAGTATAGCATGGAGTTCACGTCGTCAACAGTGTGTTAGCCTTAGCACAACTGAATCAGAGTACATAGCTTTAAGTACAAGAATTAACTTGGTTAAAATTATTTTTAGGTGAATTGCTGGACCAGCCAAAAATGGTGCCAACAATGTATGGAGACAATCAAAGTGCGATTAAACTCGTAAAAATCCAGAGTTTCATAGAAGAACAAAGCATATAGATGTTCGCTACCACTATATGTATATATATATCCGATTTTACTATTATTTACCTTTAACTTCTGTATATCTGTGTACTTCAACAATTGGAACCGTATTTTGTCAGAAAAATAATTCATCGGAAAATATTGTATTGGACCCGTATTTTGTCGGAATCGCCCGAAAATAATTTTTTCAAATGAAAATAATTAAAAATAAATCCCCCCTCTGCTATTTTAGTAAATATTAATTGTTTTATCACTTGTGAAAAAAAAAAATATGTGCTATATTATCAGAGACTGGTATTCTAGAGTCTAGACTAATCTATATCGAGATGCCCTCCTCCTAGTTTCTGCAGGCGTCCTTTTCAAGATGTGTATTACCATCGAATGTAGAAAAAAAGCCACAGAAGAATAATCCACGGGAACAATAAGCCACGGTGAAAAAGTCAAATAAAAATTAATAAATATATAAAAAAAATATAATTTAAAATATAAAATTATTATTTTAGATTTTGAGTAGAACGATGAATGTATTGATTTTGGTAGGCGGAAAAAAAGCCCAGAAATATAAATATAAATGTGAACACAATTAGGGTGGTCCTTAGTTATAGAGGTCAATTTTTTTTTTTTTGGAAATTTGATGACGAGTACCCCAAATGTTGTTCTATGTATTGAAAAAATAATTATGATAAAGTTTGGGCATAATAAGTCTACCCCTTCCCGTGCCTCAAAGGGGTTGAAGTTTTACTAATTGGGGATGAATTTCCATTTTTTACGTGTACTCTCTTAAATATTGATATTACGCAAAAAACTTAAAGTACTATTATTGTAGCTATATATATTTACTAAATAAAAGTTTCTTATAAATATGTTGTAAAGTTGATGGAATCCCGAAAATTAAAAAAAAAAACTAGTCATAATTAATATTTTAGGAAATTTTATAAGTTTTTAGTTTTTGACCTCTAATCTCTTAAATATTAATGTTACGCACAAAACTTGAAGTACTATAATTGTTGCTATATATAATATTTATTTACTAAATAAAAGTTTCTTACAAATATGTTGTGAGGTTTAAAGTTTCCTGTTAATTAAAAAAAAAAAATAATATATAATATAATGATTATTTATGTGTATTTTTTGTTAAAGTATCTTTGGTATGGCTTGGATATTTTTTCCGGTACTCTTGTACTACCTAAAAAAAAAATCTTAAGTCATACTAGTTATCTTAGTTATTTTGTAACATACAACTTACCTTCAATACATACTGCTTTTGATTTTCACTTTTTGTAAATTTTGTATTAAAATCGTCCATCAATTTGACACCACGTTCGGCTGCATCATTTATAAATGGTGTCAAATATTCTTGGCCTCTATATAACTATCGATATTCGGCAAATTTTCTGGATTTTGATGTAAGAACTCCATGCTTAGTTGGAACCTTTGGAATAGGTTTTTCGATTTAGGCGTTAATAATTCAAGTGGTAAGTCTTGTTTTAAAAATTGTGAGACATCACCAATTTTTAATACATATTTTTTTTGTATTTCTGTGG